AACAGATACAACAGAAGTCACACTGACATTCCACTGTGTAAATAGAACAGATACAACAGAAGTCACACTGACATTCCACTGTTTAAATAGAACAGATACAACAGAAGTCACACTGACATTCCACTGTTTAAATAGAACAGATACAGCAGAAGTCACATTAACATTCCACTGTTTAAATAGAACAGATACAACAGAAGTCACATTAACATTCCACTGTCCAAATATAACAGATACAACAGAAGTCACACTAACATTCCACTGTTTAAATAGAACAGATACAGCAGAAGTCACATTAACATTCCACTGTCCAAATAGAACAGATACAGCAGAAGTCACACCGACATTCCACTGTCCAAATATAACAGATACAACAGAAGTCACACTGAAATTCCACTGTTTAAATACGTACAATACACAGCAGAAGCACATTAACATTCCTATAGGGGTCAGGTAATTAAAACACCACAAAAACGGTTTTGACATTTAGTTATAAAAAGGTTCACAACCCTAAAATCAGAGTATTAAAATAATTTGTGATTGTTAGAATGAGATAAAAGTAGAGATGTAAACATACGAGACTAGAAATATAATTAAATATAATATCGTGCATCACGGTTTGATGATGTGTTTGAAAAAGTTTAGTTGCACGTAGTTGAGAGTTAAGAGGCATAACATCACAAAATGTTCCTAACTGGTTTGTTATAGTAACTACTATTTTTAATCAACACGCGGTAGTTCAAACTCGTGCTGTTAACTAGTTAGAGACTACTGAAATACTCATCAAATTCAACGAGAAAAGATTTAGAAGTTTAAAGAATGATGATAAAGTTGATCTACTGTTTTACTATGAAAATTGTGGCTTAGATATTTTAAAGTTCTCAGAAGATAGAAACCAACATGCCACGTGCAAACACTGGCTCTAAGAATGGCACGAACCTGACCCTGCAGAAGAACACCGGTTATAAGCCATGCCGGAGGCAACGAATGCTTTTCCGAATGAGGCACATGGCGCCAGGGCAATGTTACGTGCTTACGTGGGCAAGCCAGTTCCCTGTACACGGTGTAGATGTAAAGACAGGCCTGTCCGAAGAATTACTTGGCCGAGTTCAGGTGACACTGGCTGAGAGTTGGCTCGTATGCTATGTTTGGTTTTTAATTTTGTGTGTGTACTTATTACAGACTAAAAAAGTACTGTGGGACCATTTATATCAGCGAAAAAAGTTGAAGAATCCCATAACGTTAAAAACGTCTTACTTTGTGATTGACTGGAATAAACATAAAGGTGAGTCTTAAAAAGGATTGTATTGGTTGAACAGCCTTCATTCTTGTAGTATCGTATAGGTGCCGCTGCAATTTGCACCACAATGGCGGATAAGCGAGCAAGTTTATTAAATATCAAGAAGAGGGAAACTTTGGTTTCAAGTCCTTACCATGTTAAGATACCAAAAGAATATTTTTTTTCTTGATTGATTGATGTGGAGATCTAACAACAATGTTAAAAACGGCATGTTTCAGAGAGATTGCAAATTTAAAACTTAAGTCATGAAATATTAATTCTGAACTAGTTGGACATATTTTTAATGATTTTTTGCTCTAAAAGTTTTCCGTTAAAATTTTCTTTAGAAAAATATAGGTATTTTAGCTAGAAGAAAGTGGTTACCAATTACAGGTGTTTTACATGATGACAACTATAACTTGCAATTGAACACAGCTGTCCATCCTCCCGTAAGAATTACTATGGAAGCTACCATTTAATAAGTATCAAACTTCAAAGCCCGACCCATCAATATTTTCAAACTATTTCACCTGAAGATTGACAATCCCAAAAGTTTTATGTTCTAGTTTTTTGTTTTGTTTTTTAAAAAGGTAAAGAAACATAAGAGTTATATTTTTTTAAGAATTTATGAGTGTTAGCAGAGAAAAGTATGGTATAATATGTCAATCACACTACATCCAATAGCGACGAAGCCTAATACCAGTCTACACTGTATTCGAAAAAACTTCTCTCGTGTAAAATGAAATGTCGACTTGTAACATTTTTATTAACTTTACGTGATAAACCTATAATTACGATTGCACAATGCCCAGATGCCAAGTGTTTTTAAAATAGAATCAAGACACACAATTTTAATTTGAAGCTTTCAGGGCATCCTTCTCTTATACTTTGATTTTGTAGATCAATCAAAAGTATTTGAGTATAAGACACATTGTATCTGCGATATTTACTCCATAATTGATAAGCCTTTTATTAGGATTTTCAGTTAGTTCAGACAGTCAATGAATCATATGGTAATTAAAAAGGGTAAAAGTTTTTAAAAAGTCAAGTATGTTCTGCAGAATATTCATTACCTTCGAGTGTATCGTTAAGTCTCGTTTTCGACTTTGGTTTTGTAACTCCAGTGATCAAGACTGAATTGTGTTGCAAAGCTGTCGATTGCACATACAATATTTGTAAATTGTATTCAACATTGGTGCATGGCTTTAATATTCTGGTTAATATTTGCCCAGACATCGCCATAAAGAATAACAGTATATGCTAGCCAATAATTATCTGGCTATAGCCACAATTGTAAGATTATTTAGAAGTCACTCAGCAAAGAATATATCTAAGAATTTTAATAGTACACCAAGAGTCTCTTCTTGGTTGATTATGAAAATCAATACAAAATACATTACGCACCTTGTGTGAATTGTTAGGATCTTGCTTAAATATTTATCTACCAAATTGTGTTTCCTTTGGGCGGTTAAAATCGCATAGTGTCTGGCGAGTAAAAACCATTAAAGATTGGGCTGTTGTGATGGGCTTGTTTAGTGTTACTTTTTCTAAAGGGGTTCCCTTTTGAACTTAGCTGAATTTCGTTCCTCCTGGGGATTTATTTTGGCGAAAGGGGTTAAGTGTGCTATGGAACTAGTAGGCTGTGAAATACATAATGTTTAAATGTCATAATTTTCAACAACAAAAAAGCCTTAAAAACACGAATTTCGAAACACAATTAGTGATGTGTTATACATTGTCCGAACATTACCCTGAATATTGGTTGTTTTTTACTGGAACACAGCTCTTTCAACATATTCTTTCTCCCCTCTCAACCTATGAATTGTACATATTTTTTTTTTCATATCATTGCTTTTACATTAAAATTATCATCTGTCTAAACATTAAAACAAATATTATGTGACTAGCTTTTAATCTCATCCTCTGCATGTTGTAGGCCTACATCATAATTAAGGGAGTAGAATACTCGTGGAAGAATCATTCTGACATAAAAATACAAAAATGTGAAACGAAAATAAAACTCCTGATTCAACGAAAAGATACAGTAAATTGGAACAGATTAATTTAAGTAAAATATGTAACGGTGATTGCCCCCCCTTTTTTTTGTGAAGATAGACTAAGTGATTACAATGAGCTTTAATCTAATTTCAAAATCTACCATGATTTGAAAACAGTAACTTAATACACATTGGTAGTCGGTGACAGGAATATTGTGTCACGTTAAGTGTATTCGATAAAATTAAACCTGAGGGGAATGCCGATTTGAAAGAGTAGCAGATTTGGTGTTCCCATGTGGGGTCTCATGACCTTGTAAACTTGAAAATATTCAAACGATACCTGGATCAATACACTTCGCGTGTTAGCTCATTATTTCCATGAGGGTTTCTACTTGTTGTGTCATCATGATTGAGTGGCATCCACATTTTGATAACCAAGATGCTCTTTAGGGTTGATAATAGCGTGTGAACTTTAGTACTAGTTTCAGTAGTTAGGCCTACTGCCTGTTTTTGTACATTATCTAACATTAACACTTTTTTTTAATATCTCATGAATAACCGAATGGATTAACTCAAGATTAAACAGTAAATTTAAACTATAAAAGTATTCATGTAATGTTAATAGTCATTCATAATAGGTTTTGTTTGAGTATTTTGTATAACACAATATGATAAATATTAATTGAAGTTCACCATATTTTAAATTTAAGCCACAGGCGCTTCCCAATATGTATTATTGTAGACTGTTGTTTTTTATTGTTTTAATTTAGGCATTTGTATTGTTTGGCTAGAGATATGTTTTTGTCCCAAAATGAGCATGTATGATGTAGCTTAATGATTAGATTTATTTAAGTTTGAAAAACAATTTGAACCACGTGAAACGCCAGTTATATGAGAGTAGAATATATTGTAGATTGATTAATTAGTCTATTACAGTGTTTTACATAGTACATCTAGTGATTGTGGCGTGGTAGAACTAAACACACCAACTGGTCTTGAGGAATTAATGGTTAGGAACTCTCGTTGATCTGAAGAATAAGAATGTCATTGTTTCCGTCGTGAATACAAAAACAACAACATGAAATCCGAGTCTATTTTCGATGGAATATTACAAAATGTGAAACTCTACAAAAGTACTTCCACATAACAGAACACCAGAAAAAGCCATCTCAGAAACAAAATCTAAGAAATCTTATGACAAATTTTCACACAAGGAGAGCTTAAAACCTCATTTACAGGAGTTGTTTGACCAGGGCTGTGAAAGACTTACAACTGAGCAATGTCACAGATTGCATGACTTGCTCTTGGAATACCTTCTTCAGTGGACCTCATGACTTAGACCAGACCAATGAAATATATCGTAATATTGCTATGGAGATGCAGACCAACAGGTAAGTAGGCCAAATACATCCCAAATGCAAAGCAGATTGAGGCATGAAAGAACAGGAGTAATAAAACTGAACACTAGTCCTTTGGTATCACCCGTTGTATTGTGATGAAGAAGAATGGATCAAAGATCTGTATGGACTACCAGAAGGTTAGTTAAGTCATAACGAAAGATACCTACCCAGTGCCAAGGATTGTCTCTATCTTGGATTCTTTTTTTTTTCTTTTCTTTCGTGTCAAAGTGGTTTTCAATATTGGATCTGAAGAGTGAACGCTGGCAAATGCAAGTCAACAAAGCTGTTAGAAAAAAAGACCGCTTTTCTTGCTGGAAATGGGCTGTGGCAGTTTGTTGGATTATGTTATGCGTCTACAACGTTTGAATGACTAGTAAAATATGTTCTATCTGGTCTACCCTAAAATACCATACTTATCTTCATAGATGAAACATCGCACATGGGAAGACAGATAAGTTTCATGAGACACAAGAGTCAATTGAGAGGGAGTGGATACAGACCGAAACAAGATTGAATCTGTTCAATATTGACCAATGTTACAGAACTTGTGTGAGGTAAAAGGTTTTATTGTTTGCTGTGTTCCTACTATAGCCATATTATTGTAAATCATTATCTGGCATGGCTTGTCTTCTACACAAACTAGTTGAAAAACCAAACAAGTTTTGGTGTACTGCTAACTGTTCAGTGGATTGTATGAACTATACTGTGAACAAGGGCGTCCATGAAGAAAGGAACTTGGGCAACAACAACAACATTATTGTGTTTAAGCACCATTTGAGAAACTGCTGTTGATGTGCTTAGTCCTTTACCATAGAGTAACAGTGGCAATAAATGCATCTTTGTTGTGATGGCCTATTTTACGAAATAACCTAACCTATTCCTATCCAAGAAGCAGAAACTTAACAATGAATTTATTTCAAAATTTGGGGTATGTATGGAACTTCACTCAACTCAGCAATGACACTTTGAATCGGCCTTGTTTCATGGAATGATGGACAGATGCAATCACAATTCTAAATCAGTTAGCCATTTATATGGAAGATCATCTGAAAACATGGGATCAAGATTTTTTTTTTTATTCCTACACATGATTTATCAAAGAGAGATAAACGAAACTACAGAGAACACATTAGCATCACTGATGTATGGAATAGAACTGAATGTACCATTGGAGCTTCCGTACTCGCATCTCGACGACTATCACTCAGCAGAGTATTACACAATGAGACTAAGGAACACCACTTATGCCATATGTGACTCTACCCGAGAAAAACTTAAATCAGCTAGTGATAAAATGAAAAGCCACTGATCTAAATGCTGCTGAGACTGGATTTAATTCTGTTGAGAGAGTAAAATCCATTCCACAAAAAATTATCTTCGAAGTTAAGTAGATGTTGGAAAGAACCTATTCTGTGGTCAAAACAATCGATGACGAGGTAAAACAGGCTGTTCAAACCAAAGGTAATCAACTCTGGAAATATTTCAGCAAGAAAACAACCAACTGGTTGGCTGGTCTGTTACTTGATCTTCGTAAGTATTGAGCCTGTACTTCGACGATTAAATAGTGATATGAGGAAATTAGAAAGTAAGTGACTATTCAACGTTATTTGTGAAGTTAGGTCTAACGTTAGTTCACGAAACCGTGTGAATAAAAGCTTCTAATCAAATAGATAAATTAAATGAACTAAAATTTATATTTTTGTTTGCTGAATAATATCTGAGAGCCTGCTCAAAAACAGAAATTGTCTAAAACTATGATATACTTACAAAGTAGTGTTTAGACGTTTGGTATCTTTAAAACTATGATATACTTACAAAGTAGTGTTTAGACGTTTGGTATCTTTAAAACTATGATATACTTACAAAGTAGTGTTTAGACGTTTAGTATCTTTAACACTATGATACAAAGTAGTGTTTAGACGTTTGGTATCTTTAAAACTATGATACAAAGTAGTGTGTAGACGTTTGGTATCTTTAAAACTATGATACAAAGTAGTGTTTAGACGTTTAGTATCTTTAAAACTATGATACAAAGTAGTGTTTAGACGTTTGGTATCTTTAAAACTATGATACAAAGTAGTGTTTAGACGTTTAGTATCTTTAAAACTATGATATACTTACAAAGTAGTGTTTAGACGTTTGGTATCTTTAAAACAATGATACAAAGTAGTGTGTAGACGTTTGGTATCTTTAAAACTATGATACAAAGTAGTGTGTAGACGTTTGGTATCTTTAAAACTATGATACAAAGTAGTGTTTAGACGTTTAGTATCTTTAAAACAATGATATACTTACAAAGTAGTGTTTAGACGTTTAGTATATTTAAAACTATGATATACTTACAAATTAATTAACTGTGTATAAAAAGTTAATATGTATTAAAGAAAGCGATATAGGTGTTTGGAAAGATAATGAACCACCAAAGAATGAACTAAAAGTGAAGCGAAACTATGGCACTTGTTGTTCCTTCAACAACAGCTGAAACTAGTGATGGACCATGGGTGTTTAACTTTGTATTCCAAACAACTGATTGTTTGAGACGACATTAAGCTGTTCATACATTAATATCTGACTTATAAGCACAACTGTCTCATTTGTAATTGTGTGTGTTTGAATTAGGTTTACGTAATTTCTCTAAACACTATTCAAGTCACTTTCGTTCTCTAGGTTCAGATTTGCATCATTACTGATTGTCTTATTCTAATAGTTATTTTTTATTCTAGAATGTATTTCTATAAAAAGTGCCACGAACAATATTTGTACTTATTGCCCTCAGATGTTTTGCATCATATCACACGTTTCTGTTTCGTGAAATACTGTTCTTAAACCTCTCAAATTATTTTCAGATCTTTGAAGAAGTCAACGATTACAGAATATTGAATGAAAAAATTGTTACAACAATTTGAAATTTTCGATAAACCGCCATTTTTAATGGTCGCCATACTTAGCCATTCCAATCCATTCCAGTCCGAAGTTTAGTGAGCTTGAAAACAGAAAAATGGAGTTCTACTTGAACTCGGACAGTCGGTGCCTTCCAAGTGAATTATCAGACGATTTTTCTCTTACGTCATCTTCGACGCCATTAGCTGAAACTTCTGTACCTGTAAAGAGTGAAATTGGATCATATTCTAGCGGAAGGACATCACCAGGTCATGACCTAGGTTATCATACGCTACTCACTCGCCAGAGCTTGACCCCTACTCCAAAATCATCCAATAGATCTTTTGAGGGAGAACATGGTGCTCCTCCTAGCCCATGGAGGGACACGTCATCTTACTCCGACCATATGAGTTCTCCATCTTCTGCCTTAAGAACTTCAAGTACTTTGTCTGATACCGAGAAACTTCTGGCAACTTTTAAAGGGAAAAAACTGCCAAGGTGCTCCCATTTTGACAGACTGACAGACGAACTTATACTGAAAGTATTTTCTTATCTATCTAGTAATCATTTGTGTGTGTGCGCTCGTGTTTGTCGACGATGGTATTTTTTAGCATGGGAACCTCAACTTTGGACCTCCATAACTCTAACTAGTGAGAAAATCAACGTAAATGCTGGATTGAAGACACTTTTCCGGCTTCTGTGTCGGGACTCTCCCAGTGTTTGTCTGACAGTGGAGCGAATGTGTTTGAATGGTTGTGCACGTCTTACAGATAAAGGCGTGTGGACGATTGCCAAACGCTGTCCGGAACTAAGAAGTATTGAGATCCGAGGATGTAGTAATGTGACCAATACAGGGGTCACTGATTTGGTTTCAAGATGTCTGAACCTGGAAAGACTGGATCTAACAGGTAAAAATATAGAAATAGATAGCATTATTTTTAACGTATTTAATCTTCTACGGTACATTACGGATTTTCAAAGATGCGGTCACAAATTGTACGACACAAATGTTTGTTTTTGCGAAATATGTAGCAAAGTGTTTAGAATATAAAACGGTAAGAAAACAAATTTCCAAGATAAAATAACAAATAAGTTTATGTTAAATGGAAAGACATGTTTTTATGCTCTAACTGTGTCAGTTTCCTTCAGGAAAGTGTTGTTTATTACTTTTTTTGCGCTTAGATACTAATCCACCTGGTGGGTTATTTATCTGACGTATATATATTTGCAACAGAACGAAACTTGTTAAAGCAAATGCAGAGTACCACACCTTTTTTTCTTCTTCTTCTATTTCGAATTTTTCAGAAATCTTAAAGATAATTTAACAGCTTGTATTTCAAAAATTAAACCACTTCTATCAGTATATTATTTGTTTTTATTAGCGATTAATTATCAAACTCAATTCCGTGTAATATTTCACTTGTAGGCTTAAATTCCGTATAATGTATCACTTGTAGGCCTAACTTATGCGTAAAGTTTCACTTGTAAGCCTAGATTTAACGTTTGTGATGTAGGATTGTTTCTTTTAAAATTACGAAAAAGTTACTTCAAGGTTTACATCTAGATTCCTCTTGTAGAATGTTTGATGAACTAACCCACATACTATTGGTTATTAGTATAAACAGCTACGTTTAAATGTGATTTTAGCCCCACGAAAACAATTAGCTGGTGCTTGTATCGAGGATCCGTAGTGGGCATGCGTTTGTGAGTTTGACTGCTTTATCGTGTTATATCATGTTAACCTTTGAGTTGTATTTCCCAAAACCAGTCATTTTCAGAAGATGTGAAAGACAGCATAAAGTTTATTCTCTAATTATTGTGTGTATAAAAGGCCAGAGGGCGTTAACCTTGACTTACCCACAGAGCACGCTAACGTTTATGTGGCCAATACAATCAAACGCCTTGTGTTATTAAATCACAGAGAAAGAAACTCGGTTTTAATAAACAACTCTATTTTATTTACGATGTTCTAGTTTTAGTTTTCCCCTTTGATACAAAGTTTTTAATAAAAATACTTTGAAACTGACGGGAAACTAATCTCGCAAGGTGTAAGTACAACGTAATTCAGAAAATATAGACTTAAGGTAAAATTTTAAAAATTTGATGTTTTGTAATATATTCATCACTTTTCGCTTCTTGTTTTCTTTTTTATATTTCATTAAATCATAGAATTTAACGTTTTTCTTCAATGATTGTGAGGTGAGAAGAGAAAACAATTAGAATTAGTCAAGGTTGTCTTACCTCTTCAGAACGATGTTAACTTGTCGCCCGTGGAGGTAAAATACTATTACCTTGCCAGTTGTGGAGGTAAAACAATCTTATGTTATTGGATGTACAGGTAAAACAATGTTAACTTGTCGTCCATGGAGGTAAAATACTGTTACCTTGCCAGTTGTGGAGGTAAAACAATCTTATGTTATTGGATGTACAGGTAAAACAATGTTAACTTGTCGTCCATGGAGGTAAAATACTGTTACCTTGCCAGTTGTGGAGGTAAAACAATCTTATGTTATTGGATGTACAGGTAAAACAATGTTAACTTGTCGCCTGTGAAGGTAAAATACTATTACCTTGCCAGTTGTGGAGGTAAAACAATCTTATGTTATTGGATGTACAGGTAAAACAGTTAACTTGTCGTCCGATTTTAAAATCGTAATGGTAAAACACGAACGTAAATCAGTCCGAAGGTTGAATTCACACAAAGATAAGGTTTGAAGATATATATGAAGAAATTGTACGACGTAAAGAAGTGTTTGAAGGAAAATCACTGTTCTCCACTTGGTTAGTTTAAATCTCAATGTTACATCGGTATTAGTTCATTAAAAAATAATCCAGATCTTATGTAACCACAGAGGTGTTGTTTTTATACAGGTTGGAGAAGGGTATGACATGTTATCTTGATTTGAAATCGTATGGATGTTGTTCATTGTTCATAAAAGAGGTATAGATCCAATTAACAAACTTTTTTTTAATAGAGAGAGAGTAGCTCAGCGGCGAGACTGGCGTTTATAATTCTAGGTTCAATCCTCGTTGCGGGTACAGCGTAGAAAACTCAATGTGTAGCTTTGTGATAGAACAAACACAACAATGAATAGTTTATGCAACTCTAAGATTTTGAAAGCAATCCGATTGAATTACTTTAATTTTTCATTTTTTTCTGTGTTTTCGATGAATAAACTTTCATCACACTGGGTGCGTGTTTCCCACGTGGGAGAAACGTCTCAGAAATGTAATGTCATCAAGTTAGTATTCTCTTCTCTTTGTTGAGGTATCGGCGAATTAACCTTTTCATTCAAATCATGTTTGCCGCTGCTTAAAAGCACTCCAGAGAGCCGTATATAATCTAATAAATATAATAGTATCATTAAACTACCATATAAACAATTCAAGAAAGAAAGCAGGAAAAACAAATATCCCTATTTTGAAAAACGTTAGTCTAGAAGTCCAGACGACGAACAGTAAGGTGAGTTGGCGGTCACTGCACGTGTAGAGGGCGTGTTAGTAAGTCGTGTGGTTTGAAAATCTCATGGGCTGGCTTGGCTGGCACTATGTAAGATGCTCTAACTGTGATTATTATCCACCGACAAAAAACAGTTTAAATATTTGGAACTCCTTTTAGTTGGTGTTTTATGTGTAAACATTTATTTGCTGTTTCATTACGATCATAATTACAGAATTAAAGAAAATCGCAAGCCGAATCCAAAAGCTTATTTACACAAATATTCCATACCACGTGCTTTATTGTGGTAAAGCTGAACTCACGTGATCCCCTACCTCCTTTTTTTTTCTTTCTCTGACGATTGTTATAATAGTATGTTTTAAATGTAAGCTAGCTTGATTTTATTTATAACTCATCTTCGTCATATAGCTCACCGAAAGTATTGAGGTATCTTAATAACTTATCCAGCTTAGACGCTCATATGTGCCGTTGTAATACGTTTGTTTTTACCGAGTTGCTTCGTTTTATATTTTGAGATAAATAATACTAAAACGCAACTACATTATCAATAGAACTTTGTGTGTGCTGATAAGAATGTTGAAATTGCTTGGATTGCATTAATTGTAGAGATGTTGTAGAACAGCGGGAATAAAGAACCAGCAGGACACCGGCGTGGATAAACAACCTAGGGTTCCCACCAAGCCTGACTTTGTGTGCAGTTCGTCTAAACAGGCCATAGCAGGGAGTGGGCTGCCTGAATGTGACCCGATTTCCTTACGAGCACCTAATGTTTTGACTCTTTGCTGAACAAACGTCATGCTGACTGTTTTATTTTTGAGTTTACCATGTGTCTGTTTGAAGTTCAGTTGCTACAACAACAAAACCAAAAAACAAGACAAATGTCTATAAAACGTTTAGGGGTGGCATAAAGTCAGGCATAAGTTATGTGACGACGGACAAGTAGTCGAATAATAAATTACACCAGAACGACCCGAGTGACGCACATGGTTCAATCTTTAATTTGTATTTTAAAAATAACTGTGTTATCACAAAAATTTAAACTATCCCCCAAATGTTTTTACGAGAAAAACGAATTTAAATAAAAAAATATTTGTAAATGAGAGTGTTTATGTTAAGCAGCTATTGGAGAGTGTTTATGTTAAGCAGCTGACGTTTATTGGAGAGTGTTTACGTTAAGCAGCTGCCGTTTATTGGAGAGTGTTTATGTTAAGCAGCTGACGTTTATTAGTGTTTATGTTAAGCAGCTGACGTTTATTAGTGTTTATGTTAAGCAGCTGACGTTTATTAGTGTTTATGTTAAGCAGCTATTGGAGAGTGTTTATGTTAAGCAGCTGACGTTTATTAGTGTGTTTATGTTAAGCAGCTGACGTTTATTAGTGTTTATGTTAAGCAGCTGACGTTTATTAGTGTTTATGTTAAGCAGCTGACGTTTATTGGAGAGTGTTTACGTTAAGCAGCTGCCGTTTATTGGAGAGTGTTTATGTTAAGCAGCTGACGTTTATTAGTGTGTTTATGTTAAGCAGCTGACGTTTATTAGTGTGTTTATGTTAAGCAGCTGACGTTTATTGGAGAATGTTTATGTTAAGCAGCTGACGTTTATTAGAGTGTTAATATTAAGCAGCTGACGTTTATTGGGGTGTTTATATTAAGCAGCTGACCTTTATTGGGGTGTTTATATTAAGCAGCTGACGTTTATTGGAGTGTTTATGTTAAGCAGCTGACGTTTATTAGTGTTTATATTAAGCAGCTGATGTTTATTAGAGTGTTTATATTAAGCAGCTGACGTTTATTAGTGTTTATATTAAGCAGCTGACGTTTATTAGAGTGTTTATATTAAGCAGCTGACGTTTATTAGAGTGTTTATATTAAGCAGCTGACGTTTATTGGAGTGTTTATAATAAGCAGCTGACGTTTATTGGAGTGTTTATATTAAGCAGCTGACGTTTATTGGAGTGTTTATGTTAAGCAGCTGACGTTTATTAGAGAGTGTTTATATTAAGTAGCTGACGTTTATTGAAGTGTTTATATTATTACTGATATTCTTCAATATGCTGAGATGAGGACCAGTGTAAAACAACAACAACCCCAAAACAGTTTTATCTTTCAGACTTTGTTAAAAGTATAATCACCACATAGATTTAACTTGGTTGGAAATAGAGAATCTACTGTTACAGGTACAAATAAGTAGCTTATCCTGCACATGAATGAGAGGAAGTCCATTGTTAAAAGTATAATTAGTACGTAGTTTTAACCTGTTCATGGCTGGGAAGAAGTCCATTGTTAAAAGTATTAGGTTAAAACTACGTACTAATGTTCATGGCTGGGAAGAGGTTCATTGTTAAAAGTATAATTAGTACGTAGTTTCAACCTGTTCATGGCTGGGAAGAAGTCCATTGTTAAAAGTATAATTAGTACGTAGTTTTAACCTGTTCATGGCTGGGAAGAGGT